TGAAAGAGCAGAGACGTGAAATCTGAGGCTACAGACCCACTGTGCCCTGTTGGCCGGCTGAGCCACCCCCAGGCCCTCTGCTCTCTGCTCACTTCTCAGTTCAGATACCATGTTCCTTCTGAGCTTTGGAATTGAGGCTTTGTTCTAGGTTCCTTTTCAGTGATTTTTTTTTTTTTAATTAAAGGAAATGATCACTAAAAAACTGAAAAAGACAAAATATGATACTAAAAAAAACAATGTGACATGGATCTCCCACCAATATATGCACCCATCTTTATGAACAAAGATTTTTTTTTTTTAAGATTTATTTATTTTTACTTGAAAGATTTACAGAGAGAAAGAGAGAGAGAGAAAGATCTTCCATCTGCTTACTGGTTCATTCCCCAAGAGGCCACAACAGCCGGAGCTGAGCTGATCCAAAGCCCGGAGCCAGGGGTTTCTTCTGAGTCTTCCACACGGGTACAGGGCTCCAATTCTTTGAGCCATCTCAACTGCTTTCCCAGATCACAAGCAGAGATCTGGAAGGGATGTGGGGCCGCCACAATTAGAAGCAGTGCCCATATGGGATCCTGGCACATGCAAGGTGCTAAGCCATTGCACTGAACAAAGTTTTAACCTTGATATTTCTTCAGGGATAATGAAAACGTGATCTTCATTGGTTATGAAATGTTTTTCTTTAAACTTTGTCTGCAATACAAGAGCAGGTTTATTTTTTAAGAATTATTTATTTGGAAGGCACAGTTACAGAGGGAGGAGGAGGAAGAGGTTTCCCATCACTGCTTTATTCTCCCAGTGCCCTCAATGACCATGGCTGGGCTGTCTGAGGACAGGAACCTGGACCTCCATCCTACCTGGTCTCCCGTGTGGGTGATAGGGGTATAAGTACTCGGACCATCTTCTGCTGCCTTCTCAGGCACATTAGCAGGGAGCTTGATTGGGTATGAAAGAACCAGGACTATAATTGGTGCTGAAATAGGATGCTGGTGTTCCAAGTGATAGCTTAACCTTCCTTCCTATAAGCTGTCACACCCCTCACCCCATTAAAAAAGTTTTGTGTGCTAAGCAGGTCATTGATGGTGACCTTTTATGTACAGCAGAACAGGGCCTCCTGTTGTAGGGGGAACTTAGGGGTTCTTTTTCTTCCTGTTCTGGAGCAGTAACTGCTGGCCCAGCCTTGGATATAAGCAGTCTTTGACTATCCTCTATTTCTTTCTTGCAAAGCTTCCATTTCTGTTATCTCAAACATTCTGCACTCAGTCTTAGCTTGGTGGTGGAGTTGACCCCTTAGGTCTGTTGGCTCCTGAATCAGTAAGGGAGTGGCCACCTGTTTCTTTAAAAAAACAAACAGAACAAAACAAAGCAAAGCACAGAAGAACCAGGAACTCCTACCTAGTGCCTCTTCCCCTTCCCAGTCCCTTCCTGGTTCTCCCCACACACTGTTCGTGAGTATGGCAAACATTGCCTGCCTGCCTGTGAGGTGGCAGGCCCCATGCTGGCTGTTGAGAATTCCAAGTTGAGTAATCCACAGTCCTTTGTCTGCGAATAAACAAATAAGCATAATAGTCTGCTGAAGGTATAGCCATGGCCTGGTAAGAAGGGGTCAGCTCCACTGGGGTGGGCGTGGTGGGAGGTGTCAGACAGAATTCCTTGTGGAGGTGACTGGTTGCTGAGTCCTCACGCAACTCGTGCTGGTCAAGGGAACCTTTCAGATCTGGAAGTTTATTTTAATGTGGATGGATTTGTTGAGACAGGAGACAGACAATTATGTACATGAGAGGCCCTGCAATATTATTTTATATTTTTTTCTGTCTGAATAGATAATATGTTTATCAGGCACAGTACTCAAGGAGTTTAGAGGGAATATATGCAGTGAAAAGTGTTCCCTTGCATTAGCCACTCAATTTCCCTTCTTGAAGGCAGTCTTAGTTACCTGTCTCTTATTCACAGGATTTCACACAGGGACAGGTGTATGCCTGCTCTAAAAAGACAAGCATACATTCAAGTGGTTTTCTTCATGGGCTCTATTAGCACACAGAAGACTACCTTGTTCTTTTGAAACTGCTAATGAGTATTTAGTTCTGTGGAGTTTATTGTAACTTATTTAACAAGTCCCTTTTAATGAACACTAGGCTTTTGCCACTATAAACAATGCAGTGGGGAACAGGCATTTGGCTCAGTGCTTACGATGCCCACATCCCATGGTGAGTTCCTGAGTTGGAATGGTAGCTCCACCTCTGATTCCAGCTTCCTGCTAATGTGTACGCTGGGAGGCAGCAGGCGATCACCGGAGTGGTCTGGTCTCTCCCACCCACAAGGGAGACATGGATTGAGTTCTGGGCTCTTGTGTTCAGTGCAGCCTAAACCTACTGTTTTGCTGCCCAGATGGCTGCAACAGCCATGGGGTAAGGGGAAACCAGGCCAGAGAAAAGAGCCAGAGCCTTCTTTGAGAGTTCCTTAGTGGGTACAGGGGTCTAAGCATTTGGGCAATCTTTAAAAAAAAAAAAAGATCTATTTATTTAAAAGGCAGGGTTAGAGAGGGGAGTCTTGTATCTACTTGTTTATTCTTCAGATAACCTTAATAGCTATCCAGGCCAAAGCCAGGAGCCTAGAACACCATCCAGGTCTCCCATGTAGGTAACACGTGCCACCTAGTGCTGCTTTCACGGGTACATTATTCAGGAGCTGGATTGAAAGTAAAACAGCTGGGACTTAAAACAGGAGCCCGTATGGGACACTGGTGTCTCAGGCAGTGGCTTGCCACCCTGCACCCCAGTGGTTGCCTCACACTTAGAGTTTTTGAGAACAGATTGATTTTATTAAGTAGAATGGATGGGTTATAGAGTATGTCCCCCTTTTGACAGATTTTATCAAGTTACAATCCAAAGAGTCCTACATTGATCGTAAAATAGAAAATCTAAGGTCCTTACCGCTAGGCCAGCACAGCTCTCTTTTTGCCTGCCAAACCTCTGAAAGTCCCTGCTTGGATGGTTTTGCTGTTTATCTGTTTATGGTCCTCGTAAGCATCACATGGTGTTCAGGGTAAAGTTCAAACTCTTGAGCTCAGCTTCTACCAGGAGTACTGTGCTCCTGTAGTACTCTGACCTGTTTGTGTTGAGTACTTCCTTCTTTGTGTGGACGTATTCATTGGGACTCAGTTGAGAGTCTTCCCAACTTCTCTTGCATGGACACCTAAGCACCTGCCTGTGCAGCCTCATACACTCACTGACTAAGTATTTGTTGTACACATGCTCTGATGTCACACCTGTGGATATCATTTGTGATGAGCTTGTTGCCTTGAGGGACTGCTGACTGCCCGGTATGATTCCCTGGTGTTGCTGCTTCCGAGCCTCCTGCACCACAGGGCCCATGGCTACCCCTGTCAGTCATCAACTGTGGCGGCATATCATTTAATCTCTTTGGGCCCTGGCTTTAGTGTCTGTCAAATATGAAGGTGGAACTGGATGAGCTCCAAGGTCCCTGTGGCTCAGGCCTTACTAATGATTACAATAGCAGTGATAGTGTTCATTAAGGGCTTACATAAGACCAGACCCTGTACCAGGCACTTTGAGCCTAATCCTGGCATCAGCCTTTTGAAGGCAGTATGGCTACTATCTCCATTTTATGGTTGAGGAAACTGTGATGGACGAGTTATGTACTTGTGCATAGTGGAGGAAGCAGATGTAAGTTCAGGCACTCTGACTTTGCCTTTCTTGGGCACAGAAATGCACCCCCATCACACATGTCTGCAGTTTGTTTGAGGACAGTCACCGACTCCCTCTCAGAACTGTCCCTGTTCCACAGAGAGCTGGAGACAGAAAGCTGATTGAGGACCAGAGGCTGGTGGTATTCTGGAAACCCTGGCTAATGTTTATCGAAGATTCCCAAAATGGCTCTTCCCTTGGACCAAGACAACTCGGGTTGCCGTGTGCTGTGCCCTTTATAGCCAGGGAACACAGGCCTGAGCCAAGGCTTTGGACATGGTTTATGACTAGGCTGGGAGGAACCTCTGAGTTCCAGGGCTGTAATCGCAGACTGCCTTATCTATACATACAAAGCCCTACGGCTGGAAAAGTCAGCGTATGCAGAAGTGCAAAGGCAGTCTAATCTTATTGCTTGGAAAACTTGTTAAAAATTAGAACAAATAAAATGAATGCACTGAAGTCTAATGGGCAGGCATCATGTTATCCTCCAGTGGCCTCCCTAAAGATATGCAGAAGGTAATCTTGGAAGTCTTGACCTCTGGCTATATGTACTTTTAAGATACTGATTCCCACCCTTCTGAAGTCTGTCTAAACTAGAGTGAGTGGTGAGGGCTAATTGACAACCCCAGCCAGTCTTCTGCCCTCCCTCATTGTCAAGGACAGCCACAGAATGTGGTCTCTCCAGTCACAGGTGTGTCAGGCCAGCCTTGATTAATTAGTCCATTTTTGAGATTCACGACCCGGGTGTCAGATCCTCCCAGGCTCATCCAGCCCTTGGCGGACCAGCAGGCCAGCGGGGGTTGGCTCCTGCTGCTGCATTCCTTCTCTAGGCGGTGCGTTTCTCCCTTGAAGACACGTGTTCTCTCTTTTTCGTTTCGGTTAGTTGGACTTGTTCTGAGTCCAAATAGCAAAGGCAGAACTCCGTGTTAATAGCCGCCTTTCTCTCTGTCCGGAACCCCTACGATCGACGGTGGCACCGAGCTGGTGGCCTGTCAGAGCTATGCTGTACTGACGGATGTCCAGGTGATACCAAGCCCTGCTCTTGGCCCCACCTGCAAGGGTCTGGTTTCTGAACGCTGGTGGCAGCTTGTTGCAGGCCTTGGCGTTTCCCCAGGGAGAAATTGAAAAGCCATTCTGTGCTTGTCTGTCTGGGTTGGCAGCAGGGATTCTTCCAACTTTTTATTTGATCATGTCTTCCTTACCCAAGTGTTTGCTTTTCACTGACTTATGACTGAAGTTTTCACCTTACTTAAGTTCTTGTTTCTTATTTATTTATTTATTTTTTTGTTGTTGTTCTAGGTGAATCTACCCTCCAGCTGGCATAAGGATTCTCACTTCTGGATTTTACTTTTTTTTTTCTTTTAAAAAAAAAACAACTTGGACGGATAAAAGATGTGCCATGGCAGGATAGCACCAAAGAGCAGCTCAGCGTTGGCCTTGGCCTCGGTCAGGCATGGAGTCTTCCTTCTGCTGGTGATCCTGAGTAGCCTGTTTGGAGACGGGCTTGCTTCTGGTAAGCCCCGGCCTGCCTCCTGCCAGTGGGAGGGAACAGAATTTACAATGGTTCCTCCTTGAGTTTACACTCAAGATTCTAAGGCTTTTCTGTGGAAGAGGATGAGCTGGGAGGGGCTGGCTCGAGCTGGGGCTGGAAAGGCTGCAGTGAGCCTGTTAGAGTTTATTCAGTTCTTGTTGCCTTTAGCAGTGTTCTGAAGACCCAGGAGACCTGGTACCCCTTAAGGAAGGAGGTATTTGAGTATGTGCAGCAGACCTGTGGGTGACGTACCAGAGCCTGCCTTTGTCAGTACAAGCGCTGTTAGCATTGAGCTCACCAGCACCCTTCCCAATTCTGTTATAAGGATGTGTGGAGCAGTTTCCATAGATGGCGCATGCTTGAGAAAGAGTGAGGGAGGGAAGGAGAGAGAAACTCATTGATTGGCTTTCCATCCACTTGTTTGCTCCCTAGGTAACTGAAAAGGCTAGAGCAGGGCTGCTCCAAAGCCAGGAGTCAGGAGTTTCTTCCTAGCCTCCTATTTGGGTTCAGGAGCCCAAGGACTTGAGAGCAGGAGAAACAATGAGAAAAATCTTCCATCTGCTGGTTTACGTATGCTCCAAGTGGCCACAACAGCTGAAGCTGAGCTGATCTGGGAGCCAGGAGCCAAGGGCCTCCTCCAGGTCTCCCATGCAGATGCAGAGTCCCTAGGCTTTGAACAATCGTTTACTGCTTTTCCCAGGCCACAAACAGGGAGCTGGAAGGGATGTGGAGCAGTGGGGACACAAACTGTCACCCATATGGGATCCCAGCAGTTGCAAGGCAAGGATTTAGCCACTGAACCAGTGTGCTGGGCGCAATTACTGATTTTTAAAAATTATTATTTAATAGAGAGAGAGAGAAACAGAGAATACACTCCTATTTGCTGGTTCTCTCCCTAGATGCCTGCAAAGGCCTGGGTTATAACCAGAGCTAGAAGCCAACTCTAAGGTATTCGGACCTTAAATTACCTGGTACTTTGTACAAGAGAGTCACACTTTCTGCCACCCCAGAATCCATGGCCCCAGGAGGTATATGCCTGGCTGGAATGCCTGTCCGAGCAGGACCCCCAGAGCCAGGTGGGCCTTTCGAGGCTCTGAACTTGTCCAGGATTTTGGCACTAGTGGTAGGGCTAGGACCAGAGCCTGACCTGTACCTGGGGTCCTGCTGGTCTGTCTCTTCCAGGGCTTCTCATGGAAGTCACCCAGGGGTGTTACACAGTGGTGTTAGTGGCAGAATGTTTCCAGGCCTCCTGCTCGTTAGTGTCATTAAGCCCACCCCTACCCCCACCCTACTTTTTGTTAGCTGCCTCTCTCTCCTCCCATTTCCTAAGTCATTGCCATTTTCCATCTACCCACACCTTCCCAGCTTTTCAGACCCAAGGTCTGAAATCAATTATCAGGGTTCCAGACTGGCTGCATAAAGGGATTATTATTCTCCAATATGGAAAAATGTGTCTGTTTGTAGTGTGGGCTAGGACCAGGGTGGGAAAGTTGGCTCCCTGTTTTCCTTCCCTTCCCCCATCTTCAAAGAATCGTCCCTCCCTGGCTATTCCAACCCCCAAGTCTTTTCTACTTCCCATAAAATGTATGTACTGGCAGGCTGGGGAAGGGGTTTCACCTTCACTTAGATCCAGTGCACCAAGTTGTTGCCGATGTTTCAGCTTCCCTGCTTTCCTCCTTCTAGCAGCTTCTGGGGGAGCCTGCTTCTTGGCCTGAAACCCAAAGTACACCTGTATGGCTGTGCCTACCTGCCATGAGCAGTATGCCAGTCAGGGTGGCCAAGAAACCAAGATTCTGAGATGCCCTGAAGCCAGGGGTAGGCAAGTCAGTCCAGGCAAAGGCCCTTCTTCCCCTTTTGTATTTCCTTCCTATGGCTGCTGCTCAGAGCCATTTGAAAATGGGGTGTTTGTGAAATACACAGCTTTGTTTCCCAGTGGGCTCCGGTGGCCCTGTCATATACATCAGCAGAGTTGAGTAGGCATCCCGGGGACAGTTTGCCTGCAGAGTGTCTGGTCGTAAATACTGCTGTCACCTTCTAGTCTTGACCGTAAAATCAGGTTTGGTAAGGGAGAATCTTAGAAGAAGAAGTGCTTGAGAATGGTGTGTGGGGCTGCATACTGTCTGTCGTGTCTGTAGCTAGTAGCGAAGGTCTCAGAGCGGCATTGGCCACACATCCTGCTTTCCTTCGGTCGTTTCTTTAAAAAAGAATTAAGGAACAGTTTCTTTGTTATAAGTGGTGGAATTGCATCTTCTTCTTCGCAGCCACACCATGCAGGGAGAAGACCAAAGTCCTGTAGCCTTTCTCGGATTAGAGGACTTGGGGTCCCAGCTGTGTGGCACAGGCTCCCAGGTCACACGGCACTGTAATGTTGGCAGACTTACTGTGTGGCCTTCATTGAATCACTTGACCCCTGTGTGTCCTGTAAAGCAGAAATGACAATGCCTCAGAGTGGTTGGAATGGTGTTGATGTGGACTAATAAATAACAATTGGAGGGCACGTGGCATGTAAAACGTGCCGTGTAATTCCCAAATAATGCCAACAACAGAACTGGTGGGTGACCCACTGTTGAGTCACACCGTGCAGGAGACTTCACGAAGACCTGAAGGTGCGGAGTCAGGTGTGGGTTGGAGGGAAGTTGTCTGACCTGACCCACGGGAGGTTGTTGACTTCAAGAATCTCCCCAGGGCAAGCGCATTGCCTCCGAGAGAGCTCAGTGTTGGCCTGGCCTGCTGACTCATCCAGAAAGCCTTTGGCCTACATTCTCCCCCTTTCCTGAGCACACAGTGTTTTCCTCTATTCTGATTTTTGCCCTCCCCTGAAAGCGTTACTATGACACATGCAGGGGTGTTGAGCAGCACAGTTGCCCAGGGCAATTTGAATGGCAACCGAAGCAGCCATCTTCATTTCTGTAGCACCGTGAGAAGGCCAGGCTGTCTGTTTTTGTCGCAGATAGAAGATGTTGAGAGCCATTTTCTCTGGGAGATGACGTGGCTTTGGCCCTCAGCCTTGCCATGGCAGAAAGAGCCTGGCAGGCTGTGCTGGCTGACCTCACCATCTCAGAAGGGACCTGACGTTGGAGGTAATGTGCCCGAGCTGAGAGGAGAGGACAGAAAAGGAAGCATATCATTTGCATGTCTGATGACTGTCCGTTGGAGAGCTGTCAGACGCCCTGTGGGTTAGGTGGTCCTGTAACCAATTCATAAAGAGAAACTGCGTCAGAGATTAGGTCGATAAATGCTCTGAAGCAGGTGATCGTGAGTGTAGCTTGCTGGGCTTTGTCCCCAGTCCATCTGACTGTGGCTCATGGTCTTGGCTGGGGTCAGGGCAGGCTTCCTTTAGATTCATTTCTCAATGTTTCCTGATGCAAATGCCAAGTGCAGCCTTCAGGTTATGCAGATGGAGGGAGACAGGAGCCTCCTGTGTCCTCTCTCCATGGTGTTATAGAAAGGTTGTGAGGCGCCCGGGTTGCCTTACTTCCCTCTGTGGTGCTTTCTGTCCTCATCCGCAGTAGCCCTTGGTTGTTTGAGTCCAGTTTAGGCACAAGGTTTGCCAAAGCACTTCTGTTCTTAGAAAGGAACAATAGGAACCCATAGCAAATTGTTTGCTAAATCAGGATGTAGTTCCCAAAACATCCGCAGAGGATCTTCCTGTCAGCTGCAGACCCTGCTGACAGAAGTGATGTAATTGCTCCATGGTGTAATTACCTGTGACTATAAAAAGACTTGGGGATTGTGGTAGGAGCCTGTGATGGGTCATTATAGGACTTGTTAAACTCTGGTGTCATGAAAGACATTGAGAAATTACTCTCTGCACACTGATTGTTGTGCCATGTTTAGAACATTACAAACACAGGGTGCTCCTAGGAAGAGCAGCCCGGAGCTCCCCCGGCTGCTGCCTGACTGCGTCTTGCCTGGGTGAAGACCTCACTGTGAGCAGCGGTGCCCCGCTGCCCTGCCCTACGGCAGTTAGCTCCGAGGTTAGCCTTATTTTTTTTTTTTTTTTAATTTTATTTTTATTGCAAAGTCAGATATACATAGAGGAGGAAAAACAGACAGGAAGATCTTTCGTCCGATGATTCACTCCCCAAGTGGCCACAACAGCCAGAACTGAGCCAATCGGAAGCCAGGAGCCAGGGGCTCCCTCTAAGTCTCCCATGTGGGTGCAGGGTCTCAAGGCTTTGGGCCATCCTCAACTGCTTTCCCAGGCCACAAGCAGGGAGCTAGATGGGAAGCAGAGCAGCCAGGATTAGAACCGGTGCCCATATGGGATCCCAGCGCATTGCAAGGTGAGAACTATGACTATAGCCACTAGGCTACCATGCCGGGCCCTCGAGGATGGTTTTACCTGTCTAGTGCTTTCTGCAAAGGGAATCACAGGGTGCTAATAAAAAAGCTAAGTCTAGCACTTGGAGAATTTAATGATACTAGGTAGGATTAAAAGGGAACTTTATTTATGACGTCTTTCCAGTGGAGACCCTGCCCTTTGAGAGCCTGAGCCTGTAGACGTGGCTTGTGCTGATGTGGCTGGCTGGTAGCAATGTGGCCAGGTCAACAGAGACCTTGGTCTGCTTCGTGTTTAGCGTTGGGGCCCGGAGGGGCAGCAGTGTTCAGAGACAATCTTTCTATGGTGTGTTGTGAATAAAGACTGTATTAGCTACTGATTTCTCCCCAGGCCTGTTTATCAGCCATACTTTCAGCCATGTTAGCGCATGGAAATCTGAATTCACTCAAGAGGAGGGTAAGGTTACAACTTTTTATTTCCTTTAAAAGATTTAAAGATTTATTTATTTGAAGCACAGTGACAGGAAAGGAAGGTGTAGGGGAGTGTGCGCAGAGAGCAAGCGAGAGAAGGATCCAAAGAGATAGTGACACACAGAGGTAGACATGGACCCTTTACACCCTGAATGTACCAGCCAGGTGTGGGCCAGACCAAAGTCAGGAACCAGGAACTCCATGTGGCTTTCCTCCACCGGTGGCAAGGA